AGCGCACGGGGCCGGGGCGGAGCGGAGTCATCCGCAGAGCAGCCCCTCCCGGCCGCGGCCGTCGACCCCGGCCCCCGGCCCCCGGCCCGGCTCTATGGACAGGAGCTCACTGTTGCAGCTTATCCAGGAGCAGGTGCGTTGGGGGAGAGGGGCGCCGGCATCACCCCCACCGCGGCTCTCCACTGTTGGGTTGGGCTGGGGAAATGGAACTCGCAGAGCCTCAGCCCAGCCCCCCCTCAAGTCCACTCCCCAAACCCCCTCCGGCACGACCTTGGCCTGCTGCCTGAGACCCCAGGAAAGGGCGAGCCAGACCAGGGCTCCTGGGGAGGGGCAAGAGGGAGGGTGACTGTCCTCAGACCGTAGTCCTACCCTTCCAGGATGGGCAGGGCCAAAATGAAGTGGGGAGACCCCTGGAGGCTTGGGACTCAGGAACCTGTTCCCTGGCAGCTCCTGAGACCATGTGGGCACAGGGATCTAGCCCTAGGGTGTTGGGAGACTGCCTCTTCCAGCTGGCCTGGTGCAGCCCTTTGGTCTGTGGGCCTGGTCCGCCCTCAGGCCTCTGCCAGCGCCACCTCCTCCACCTCCCACCCCAGCAGCTGGACCCTGAGAACACAGGCTTCATCGGTGCAGATACCTTCACGGGCTTGGTGCACAGCCATGAGCTACCCCTGGATCCAGCCAAGCTGGACATGCTGGTGGCCCTGGCCCAGAGCAACGATCGGGGCCAGGTCTGCTACCAGGAGCTGGTGGACCTGGTCAGTGCTACAGTGGGTGGGCAGCAGGGGTGGGGGCCCAGGCCTTGGCCAGCATAGTGCCCTGGCTGGAGTTGGGTGGGCAGGTGGCCCCTCTTTCCTTGCCTTCCCACTGGGGCAAGGGCCTCAGACCCTGTGAGGAGCTGGACAGACCAGGTGGGCATGGAGGTCATGGGAGTAGTATGATGTCCCATGCTTAGGCCCCGCTCCCCCAGATCAGCAGCAAGCGCTCAAGCAGCTTTAAGCGGGCCATCGCCAATGGACAGCGGGCACTGCCCCAGGATGGGCTGCTAGACGAACCAGGCCTGGGTGTCTATAAGCGGTTTGTTCGCTACGTGGCCTACGAGATCTTGCCCCGAGAGGTGGACCGCCACTGGTACTTCTACCGGCACCGAAGCTGCCCACCCCCTGTGTTTATGGCCTCGGTCACTCTGGCCCAGGTGAGCCTGCCCACCTGTCTACCACCCACATCCCTGGTCTGGCCCAGTCCTAATGCCCTTCTCTCCTAGATCATCGTGTTCCTGTGCTACGGGGCCCGCCTCAACAAATGGGTGCTGCAGACCTACCACCCAGAGTACATGAAGAGCCCTCTTGTATACCACCCCGGGCACCGAGCTCGAGCCTGGCGCTTCCTTACCTACATGTTCATGCACGTTGGGTAAGTGAGGGCCCACTTCTTGCACCCCTAACTTCAAAGTGGCTGGGGGTCTGATGACTGATCGCACTCCTCATACCCATTTGCCCCTACATGACCAGGCTGGAACAGCTGGGGTTCAACGCACTCCTCCAGCTGATGATTGGGGTGCCCCTGGAGATGGTGCATGGCCTGCTCCGCATCAGCCTGCTCTACCTGGCTGGCGTGCTGGCAGGTGAGGCAGGCATGTAGCCCCTGGCCACCTCACTGGCAGGCCTCACCCTCATAGCTGTCCCCTTGCTTCACACAGGCTCCCTGACTGTCTCCATTACTGACATGCGGGCCCCTGTGGTGGGGGGCTCTGGCGGAGTCTACGCCCTGTGCTCTGCACACCTGGCCAATGTCGTCATGGTAATGAAACAGCCTGGGTGGGTGTGGGAGGGGCCCATAAGGCTTGCCTCACGGCCTGTCTCATGCCTCATTAGAACTGGGCTGGGATGAGGTGTCCCTACAAGCTGCTGAGAATGGTGTTGGCCCTGGTGTGCAGTAAGTAGCGATGAAGGGTGCTGGAGGGGGTGGGGAACTGAGCCCAGGGCCAGGGAACCGCCCATGTGCCAACTCTCTCTACAGTGAGCTCCGAGGTGGGCCGGGCTGTGTGGCTGCGCTTCTCTCCACCACTGCCTGCCTCGGGCCCACAGCCAAGCTTCATGGCACACCTGGCTGGTGCAGTGGTGGGGGTCAGCATGGGCCTGACCATCCTCCGCAGCTATGAAGAGCGCCTTCGGGACCAGTGCGGCTGGTGGGTGGTGCTGCTTGCCTACGGCACCTTCCTGCTCTTCGCCATCTTCTGGAACATCTTCGCTTATGACCTGCTGGGTGCCCACATCCCCCCACCGCCCTGAGGGGCTCCTAGGGGCCACATGGGCTAGGGTGTGGCCTGCATGTCCACCTTCTGTGAATATATGTCTCAAGGCTGTTTCTCCCGTGAGGGAAGGTGGCCCCTGTGGCCTGTTGAGTCCAGGCCAAGCCTTACACTAGCTCTGGCCTCCCTCCCAGGCCTGGGGGGGTTAGGACTGCTGGGCCAGGCTGGATGGTGGAGGACCCAAGGGTGGCCCTAGAGGAGAGCCTATCCTTCAGTCTCCCTGCAGGACTTGCAGTCTGAGCCTTTTTGGAGAATAAATAAATATTTTACACAGCACCAGGTAGCTGTACCGGGGCCCTGGGGGCTGGTCTAGCCTCCCCCGGACTCACTGAGCAGACTATGAGGGCTCTTCCCTCCATGTGGGCAGCCTGGACCCCCCCCCC